AAATTCTATTCTACCATTCAAACAATTATGCAACATATAAGATATGAAAGTAAACAATTAATAACACAATTGTAAAAGAGATAAGAGAAGAGAAATTTCAAACAATGGCTCGGCAATTTTAGCGAGATTCGGAAACTCCTACTCCTCGGCTCAAGATCCCTCTTGAGACTTCCCGATGCACTATGGCTTCTCCTTACGGGTGGAGAGCAAACCTTTACATGAAACAAACTCTTGCTTCTCTTCTTTGCTAAAAGAACACCCTTCTTCTAAGCTTCGTTGGGTTACACCAACCCTTACAAGTTTGTAGAAGAAATTGTAGTTGTGATACAAGAATGAATCTCTCTCAAGATAGATGTACAAATGTAAGCTCACAAGGCTAGAGTAATAGATGAATTAAAATGAAGCTCAAATTGGTATGGTTGAGTGAAATGAATGCTTGACTAAATGCTTTGAATGATATTTTTGAATTCTCTCAACCGTGCCCTAGCCTTCTTCAATGCTTGTCTTTTTATAGAGTTGAAGAAAAATGAAATGCATTAATTGCTCAAATATATCTGTTGTGGTAGGTTGAAGAGCATTAAATGTTTGTGTGACCGTTAGAGCAATAAATATATCAACTTCAGATCTGCTTCAGTTTCTAAAAATTAGAAGAAGTGAGATTGGATCTCATCTAACCGGTTAGAGGATTTTTCCTAACCGGTTATATCTACTGAGGGACTTCTTTAGTTAAGGCCAACTATTCGAACATAAGAGAATTCCTAACCGGTTACATCAAAGGTCAAGATAAGTATCGTTCTGTTAACGCATATCTAACCGGTTATATAACTTCTTCTAACCGGTTCAATCAATAGCCAAGAAAAGTTTCATTCTGTTAAAGCACGTCTAACCGGTTATATAGCTTCTTCTAACCGGTTACATCATTGGCTAAAAAAAATCGTATTCTGTTTAAGTACATGTAAATGGTTACTTGAGTTCTCCTAATCGGTTACGAGAAGGTAGATATAATATTTTTGTATGTTGATCTAAACGGTTAGAACAATTCTTCTAACCGGTTACAAGGTGCGGATAAGAAGATTAAGCTTTCTGTTTTGTTCATCTAAACGGTTAGATGAAAATTCCTAACCGGTTATGAGATACCTTCGATCGTGTGTTGCTTTCTGTTTTAGCTCATCTAAACGGTTAGAAGAAACTTCCTAACCGGTTATGAGATTCTAAGGAGATTTTTGATTTTTCTTTTTAAGTGCAGAATCTTGAAAGATGTGAATGAAAATGCATAAGCCAATAGATTTGAGCTTCAAATTAATTCATAGATTACTTTGACAGAAAATCCTAATCAATCACCGATCTATCTACCCATTGTCTTCAAGTCAATCATGATTGCATTATTCTCAGAGTAGATTTGATTTCTCTTCAAATGATTTCTTTGTCTCGATTGCTTGGCATATTTTATTTCCTTTGCCCTATAAGCTCAATGCAAACATTAGACCGAGAACACTTCATAATGTTTTGTAATCATCAAAATTATTAGACGATCTTTGAATGACCTTTAGGGTCAACAGCTTCATTGGCTGTGGGGCTATGAACCTCATCTTATTCTCTTGGAAGAGTCGAGCCAAGGTAGTTCAGAGAGGTGTAAACCCTTCCTCTATCCTTTGCCTTTTCTCAGGTGCCTGGGTGATCGGCGTTGAGGCGCGTTGGCTTTTCTGAATTTTTGAATTTGGAATTCTTTCTCGAGGCTTGTTCTCCACTGTCACGAGAGTGGCGTGCTGCGTTTGGTGGGCTACATTTTCTTCGAGCCGGATGTAGATCTGGGCCCTGGCACTGAGAGTCTGCATGTCGAGAGGAGAATATTTGACCAAGGAAGTATGAAACTTCGTCCCCTGAATCATTGCAAGTTTAAATGTTTCTATAGCAGTCGCGGGATGACAGTCTGCTATTTTCGAGGCTTCCATGTTGAATTTAGATAAGAAATCCTGCAGTGTTTCCCCTTTCTTTTGCGTTATGGTGAAGAGGCTAGCAATCCTCTTCTTTTGCTTTTTATTTTCACAGTATTGTGCTAGGAACATGGTGCACAGAGTTACGTAATCCGGGATGGACTTGTGTGGCCTATTCCTGAACCACTCTAGTGCTGCTCCTGTCAAACTGGTAGGAAAAACTCTACACATCTAAGGGTCATTAGGGTCATCCAAAGCCATCTTTTGGGCGTAATGATCCAGGTGCCGAGAAGGACCTCCCGTACCGTCAAACTAAGTAAAAGAAGGCATGGTAAATTTCTTGGGCCTCTCAACCATATACACATTGTCAATGAAAGGAGTTTTCACCAGGGAGTTTTTGTGCTCTCTGGCCATCTCAGCGAGTGTTTGAATTTTCAGGAGTCTTTTCTCATCAAAGGCATCCTAAACACCTGCATCATTTGGAATTCCATTGGACCACACCGTGAGCTTATGGCTAGACTCGGCTTGCTCGTCTTGCGTGCGACGAGGGATGTTGTCTGAAGCGACAGCCTCGGACCTTGCCCTCTGCTGTTGCTGAACCTCGTTTGGCTGAGCCTCGTTGGGTCGTGCCCCATTAGGTGGAAGCCCGTTAACTGGACGAATATTCTGATTAGGGGGTATTGCTGTATCACCTAGTAATGGTGGTGGTGGTGCCAACTGAGCCATCGCCGTTTGCAGAGTGTTATTCTGCTGTTGAAGCAAGGCGATCTGAGCCACACTAGCTTCGTTTGCTTGACGAAGCACGTCAAACTGGTGTAGAAACTCTTCACGCATCTTCTGCATCAACTCCGTCTGTTGATCTGTTGAAGATCCTTCGTTCGACATTCCGGATGGTAGTTGCAGGATCCACTTGAAACAAGAGTGGGAAAATATTTGCACACGTTTCCCACTGACGGCGCCAAAGTGTAGGTGCAAAATTTCACTCAACCAATAATGATTGAGAAAAATCAAACAACACACACAAAAACAGTAAGAATAAATAAGAACAGTGTATAGAGAAGGATAGAATTGCTTGATCCTTTTATTGGAAGTCTGGGCCTCTATTTATACACAAAAGATTGGTTGAATTATGGTAGGACTCGCATTGCTTGTCCTCCAATTCTTTCCTTACAGAAATTCTTTACAAATAGAGCTCCTTCCTTTGTATAATTCTCCTTGTGTAGTAGTTTCTTTCTTTGCTGTATACTTCTTCTAATATGACTAATTTCCTTTTAATGGAGTTGGGCCATAAGTAACCTGATCCATGTGACATTGCCAATGGGTTGGATCTCTTGTTTCGAGCTTGAGCAGTGCTACAAAGATCAATTAGCTGTAACCCTAGGCCAGTGTCTTATAATTCTGGGCTGCCGACGAGCTTGGACTGGGCTTTGTGCAGGATGGGCCTGACATTTATGATGGGTATTTATGTTGCGATAACGTGTACAGTTCTCATTGGAGGGAGATTTTTCCCTCCACAAGGTCTAACAACAATTTTTATATTTTTTCTTCCTAGGATGTTGGGGCTGATCCTGATAACACAGAGCTAGCCAAACTACAAGTATAATGGTCCAACAAAATGATGTGCCCAATACAAATAAGAGCAACAGCGCAAAACAAGCAACGCTCAACCTAATAATACTGAAAACTAAAAAATAATACTAAAATAATTTCCTCAAAAAACTGAAAAAAAAAAAAAAATAGTACTAAAATTGATTCGGTTGACAGCTTTTTAAAAATGTTGAAAGCTGAAATAATAATAATAAAAAACCGTATTCATATAACAAAAATTTTAAAAATTCTGAAAATTATTTTATATTTTTAAGGCTCTTATAAGTTTTATTCTATAATTAATAGCCTTGGGAGCCTCCAGTTACATGAACTTTTTGGCTACACTGGTGTATTGCTTAGATTTGTCACATGAATAATTCAACATCTGGGTTTGCTTCTGTTGCTGTCTTGTTGGTTGCTTAGGTAGTTGAGTTGGGTAGGCTTGTTTTGGGATGTGTTGGCCCTTTGTTTTTGTTGCTATGGCTTTTAGCCCTCTTTTTTATTTTAAATATTGTGTTCTGATTCGACGCTTAAACTCAATTACTTGGAATTTATATTAAAAAAATATTGTACGAGATTCATGAAAACGTGTATATATATAATTATCTTAGATTCTTACTTAATTTTTATGTATAAGGGTAAAAAATATAGATGGAACATTCAAACTATCATATGCATAACACACTAGCTTTTGATTATTATTATAATTATAATATTATTATTTACTTCTTTTCCTTCGTCAGAATGTGTGATAAGAAGAGAAGAAGCAGACACGGATTTGTGAAGGGCTCGGATGCACACCCACTGAAATTTTTTATTATTATATTTTATATTCCTAAATTTATACTTTTTTGCATTTATATCTATAAAATTTTAAAATTATTCCTACTGAAATTATGAAAGAATACCTCTATATAAATTTGTTTCCCTTATTTGAATTCCTAGATCCGTCCCTTAGAAGAAGTATTGTTCAAAAGAGCATGTCCACCTTGTACAAGGCCAAGGGGAATGCCTAGGGACCAAAAACCAATGGCCCAAGCCCAAAAGTACAATACAAAAACAAAGGGAAAAGCCAAACCAAAGCCCTTAAGAAGGACCCAGTACGAGGTTGGGACATCGGGCTTATCCCGTTGATCCACAAACTCAAAATAGGCAACTTCCCGAACCATCTCTGAAACCATTAACTGGTTACCTAAGGCACACAACTCTGGCCCACCTTGGAACCACCGAAAAGCTTCCTTATCCTTTAGGTATTTGAATAAAGATAATTCGAGAATGCCGAGTGGACCAGTGGTTCCTATTACAGAATCCATAAGTCTAGAGATTAAGTCTAGATTAACAAGGTTTTAAGCTCTAACAAATACAATAGCTGTGCTGCTATTTAAACCATGCCTTTCAAGGTCCAACTACAACTCAATTTTCTTTGGCAAGTGCATTCTATAGGTTTTTTTTTGTTTTTTTTGCATGCATGTTTAGTTCTATAAAATCTTTCTATTACAGCGCATAAGAAGAAAATAACAAACCAATGACCATTAGTTCATTGGCATAACCTTTCCTCTCCCAAAAGGGGAGGAAAGAGGTTCAAGCCCCGTTGTCGGCAATTTGTGAAATGTGTGTATGAGTGCTTACCTAACCGAGAAAAAAAAAAAAAAATGTCAATTGAAGACAGGACACCCCTTAACCTCTATACCTGGGGCAGTAGGACAATGTGCCAGAGGGCAATGATCATCCAAGTCTAAGCCCCACCACCTCATTCCATTGATGTCCCTAACCTGCAATGTGAAATAGCACAGAATGGCCATGAATGCAACACCAGCGTCTAGTCCAGCTGACAGAATGTAGTTGTGCCTAGCCCACCACCCTTTGTATCTCCTATACACAACAAAGTTGAAGAAGATGCCCACTGTCAACCAACAAATGTAGTTCACAGCCCTGGCTGGTGGCATACCTCCTGCACCACTTAAAATGATTGGTACGTTTATGAGCCTAATCCATCTTTGCTCGGGAAATTTCTGGGATAAGAACCAAACAGGCAGTGGCGCAAGAAAGCCGATGAGAAAGAAGTAGTTCATTGCAGGGTATACGCCAAGGTGGCCAAACATGCGAAGGGGGCCAACCACACCCCAGATAATTGATGCATTGTAGAAAACATCGTCGCCAGGACAAGTCCATGGGCTTCCTTCTGGCAATTTCGATGTGTTGCAGATGTCCTTCACTGTGCTGAGGAGCCACCAAGCTGTGCCAAAGTAGACCGAGGATGCAACTACTGTTCCTACTAACTTCAATAAGAATCATAAGTAAATATTAGTATTTACTAGGCATAGGCATCTATAAGAATTGATATTTCTCAATCTTTTTTAAGTACCTGAACAGCAAACATGGACTTTGGTGGGATTTTCATGTAATGGCCTAGCTTGAAATCCGAAAGGAACGTTATTGCTTGTGTCATGCTTATGTATCCATAGGTCTTGAAGGCTACATTGGCAAGAGGTCTCCCCGGATACATGTAGCCGATAATCAGCTCAGTGATAACATTTAGTCCAGGTTGCTGCACAATGATTTCACAACCAAATCAAGCATAGTCATTGACAGAACGTTGAAGAAAGCTCGCGATTCAAGAAATGTACCTGGTTTGTGGTAGCTGTGATCACCCCAATAGGCAAGGTGAAGACCAGAGCCAAAACAATTGCCAGTAGCACACCCCAGTAAGGAAGCTGCAATTGTCTACCAAACCCTTCACAAGTAAGCAAAGCTACTCCAATTACCACCACCAAGATTGCATAAAACCACCACTGAGGAACAGGATCATAGTTCTTCTTCATCAGCCTAGTGTGTACATCTCCAAACTTGTCTTGGAATGATGCCTTGGTTTGTTGCCAAATCGTACTGCAAATTGTAAAACAAAGTCGAATTGGTTATGGTTTTGTAAGTCCACTCATATGTGGTTTCAGGAAAAAGAAGAAGAAGAAGAAGAAGAAGAAGAAGAAGAAGAAGAGGGTTACCTCCCATAGAAGAGAGCAACATGGGATATTGTTGCGGCTAATGTTGCAAAGCTTAGACCATAAGCAAATGCAAAGAAGATACTGACATAAATCCTGCTATAACCATCGTATCCTTGTCGATTGAATTGGAATGTTGTTTCATTCAAGACTAGTGAGACATTGTATTCTCCTCCATCGGCATTGAACACATGTGAAGAGAAAATTGGGACACGTTTGGCTTCGAATAAGTTGGTCCAATAAGAAATAGGGATCACCATGTAGACAATCATTATGTAACCAACCAATATGTTAATGATAGCAAATCCAGGTGTGGCTAGGGGACTTCCTAGAAAACCAGCTACAGTTGACCAATCAAGGGCGAACGAGCCGATGCCAAGACCATGAAGGCCAGAACCGAGTTGTTGGGCTGTGACTGAATCCTTCCATATCCAACAAACAAAGGAGAGGGCAGTTATGGATGGAAAAAGATAGTTGGGAACAATGTAGTATGAGAAGCTTGATACAAGGACCACAATGAAGAACTGCAGCCTAGTTAGGCCTCCTTTAGGCCTAACCTCAACATCATGCAATGCCCTACAAGTTCAAAAGTGAAAATTATAAGAAAAATGAAGTGTGTGTGTGTTTGTTGAGAAAGGGGAGAGAGAGAGCACCTAAAGAGGGAGACCTGAACCAGATTGGAAGGCCACCACATGTATGGTGAATCAACCAAAAACTTTCGAAAAATACCAGCCCATCCATACCCAAGCATCTAAAAAATCCATCAAACACAATCAGGCAAAATGGAGAAACTACAGTAAGTTTCTAGCAAAGAGATCATTAACAAGTAAACAAGTCCTCTTATAATAAGCTACATACACAATATGCACCTTAATTTTCTGCTAAGGATATTTTTTTTTTTTTCTAGTTCATCTAAAATCAACATATACAATAATGTAAAATACCTATTAACTACTTTGATGAATAGAGAAATTCACCTGGGTTGATTGCGTTAACAACATAGCAGCAAGAGGATGAATTTGCCAGTGGTAGAATGCCTTCACTATAGTGATGATACCCACTGCATAAACGGGACTTGACCCCGAATTGGCAAAAATAGTGATGAGGACATGCTCTTTCAAGTTAAATGGTCCCGGATTTAGTGAGAAAGACCATTTTGTTGCTGGGATACGGATTGATCTCTTTGGCAGATATACTGCCATAAAATTTCCGATTGGAAGTACAGCAATTTGAGCTGAAACTGATGATACATAGAGTGCATTTTGGCGGTAACCAAAGAATTGGTTCAAGAATGCCAAAATAGCACATGAAGTGATGCCCAAAACCCATGTCCGAAATGTCAAGCATGGCAATGTTGGATCATCTGTTATTGGCACCGTGAGACGGACTTGCTCTATTGGAGAATCATTCACCTCACCTGCACAGAATTTCATTTTAGGGCTCTCATAATTAAACACTGATAAAATTCATGTTCATGGTGGATTAGATATGGACACAAGTTCTTAGCTTAGAATTTTTTTTCTCGTAATATATTTACATGGAACATACTCTGAATCTTGTTACATCATTGACAAAGATACCTTCTATGATTCAAACAATTTATAGAAGATGACTTGCAATTTAAATTATAACAGAGGATAACTCTCTGTATGCTATAGGATGATAATATTTAACATGCTAGACAGTCCACCAAATACAGCAAAATAATAGTGAAAAACAAAAGTGGTGTGGAAGATGAAACACAAAAAAGATAGTGTTGCATGCATACACACACACAAACACATAATTGAACAACCATTTATTTTACAAATAAGCAAAGAAGAAAAATAAATATAATTCAAACAGAAGTGGGGTGGAAGATGAAAATAAAAAAACATAGTGTTGCGCGCGCGCACACACAAAAACACACACACATATGATGTTATTGCTGTATGCAACATGTAAAGAGACTGGAAAGGGATGGAACTCACCGGAAAATTCGACAGAATGACTCTCTGGATCAAGCTTTTTGTTCTGATACGAAGAAACCATATTATCATCTGAAAGCTCCATGTTGCAAAAGGTGCACAGCCAACACTAAAGAGTAGTTGAAGCAATAATATATATATATATATATATATATATATATGAACCGGTACACCAATGGGATTGGTTATGGGATCCTTTAATTAGATTCCATTTGGTGTTTGGTTTTGTGGAGTCTTATTTTTTTTTTAGGAAGATTTAATTATATGAAAACTTAAAGAGTTTAGAAAATTAGTTTCCTGATTTGGTGATTTGGTTAAACTTCGTTATTGGTTTGGGAAAATTCACTTTCCTGATTTGATTTAAGTTCGTTATTGGTTTAAGGAAAATTTAGCTTCCTGATCTGATTTAGCTTCCTTATTAGTCTTATTGGTTTTGAATTCTATAAAAGGCAAGTTAACAAGTTTGGGACTCTATAAATATCAACTCTAATCAGATTTTAAAGAGTGTGAGAATTAGAGTCTTATTGGTTTTGAATTCTACAAAAGGCAAGTTAACAAGTTTGGGACTCTATAAATATTAACTCTAATAAGATTTTAAAGAGTGTGAGAATTAGAGAAAAATTTATGCCAATACAAGAGAGAGCAATTGAGAGAGATTGAGAGACAATTCTCCATTGTAATTCTTCATTTCTTCGTAGTGAATTTGTTCGGTGTGCTTCATGGACGTAGCCCTAAGATTTGGGTGAACCATGTATATCTTGTGTTCTTGTGTGTGATTTTTTTATTCTTCCTGATTGCTTATTTATTCCTTGAATATCGTTATTTATTTTGTGTTTCCGCCATAATAATTGGTATCAAATCTGGTTTGATTGTGTATAGCAACTCCAACATGTGGCACCCTCTATTTTTGCTTTCATTTTCATCACACTTACTGTTTCTGATCTTCTCTGTGGTTTATACTGTTAAGCCACAGGAATATATGGTCTGAATTATCAAAGATAATTTTGAACTACTACAATATTTAAGTGGGTAATGAGAATAAAGTAACTGTTGTATTCCATTTTCTAAATATGATATAGGTTACGAGTAGTTAGTTCCAATCAATAAAAACCATGCTCTACCTTTCTCATTATAAATATTGCAGCTGTATTTTTACTCAAACGTTTCTAGCTCTGCTTTTCGTTCTTTTTGAATTGGGCAAAAACTGAATTTTATGTTTGTTTGCTAGTAAAAGACTGCAGATTTGGAATCTTGCAACTGTGACAACCAAACGAAGCATTGCCATTAACAAGATTCACACACCTAACATGTACAAATGTTTACAGGTGATTGTTACCCAACTGATTATTTACAAGAACTACATCCATTTTTTTTTTTTTTTTAGCCTGGCAAAGAACTACATCCTTAAAAGCATCAAAGTAGGAAGATTCTTAAGACTTGAAAGACCCCAAAACCTACTTGTGATTACATCTACAAAAAACCCTTTTCACCATTAAATTGAAATCCACATTTTCTATTAATCATACTTGATCATTCTTGCTAAATTAAATTTAGTGGTTGAACCATTTCACTCATATTAATTCTTTTCCTTCACTCCTTACTTGTCCTTAATGAATCTTAATTTCATCTCTCCAATCAGATTCACATTATTGATTCATCCCCATTTTCTTGTCTTGTGTGCCACCCATACCATCACATCTTCAATGCGAATAGAGTTTAGTTTACAACTAATAATTTGTTCCGCTATACATTGTTTTAGAGCAACACTATAATCGCTGACATTGCCACAACGACTATGAGAGAGTGTGTCCATCACCTCGCGTTCTTATCTCTCAATCAGTGTTTAGTTTACAACTAGTAATTTGTTTCTCTATACGTTGTTTTAGAGCAAGACTATAATTACTGACATTGTCACGACGACTCTAAGAGAGTGTGTCCATAATTACTGACATTGCCACGACGACTCTAAGAGAGTGTGTCCATTACCTCACGTTCCTATCTCTCAATCAGTGTCGTAATATCTGTGAATGGTTGTTTTCACCCAATAACTCATTGATCATGACTACAAAGTACTTTGAAAATTATTTACAAGTTTAAGGGGACCATTACCTTTAATTTTTTAGGTCTCAAGTCTTAACCACCACAACATTATATCTACTATTAGACAAGTCCTATTGAGGTGAGATTCACAAATCACAATGAACTGGACACTAGAGATTATTCAGAGTTGTACAAAGTCAAGAGTGAAGATATTTTTGCATACAATAATTAATATGTATCCAAACAGTATTATCCAAGGAGGGGATGTCACGAGCCAAACACCCTCTTATCCGTATGGGTCAGTATTTTGGATTCTACCTTCACCAGTTTGCATAAATGCAGCTGGAAACAGTAGGGCTCCTCTCTTTTTTTTTTTTTTTTTTTTTTTTTTTTTTTTTTGCAGTGGCAACTTGCCAATATGCATAGGCGTAAAATTGTCTTTTGACAACAAAGAGGTCAAAATTTAGGATATCATAGACCATGATCTTTAGGGTTTCTAGGATATCTTTTAAGGCCCAAATTCTATTGTAAAGTCTAAGGTTTTGTTTGGGTCCATCCTTTATTATTGGTTCATTATCCAAATTGACTGATTACGTACTGTTCTGGCTGAAGTGAACACATGAAACGACTCAAACTAGTCGGCTAGGGCCACAAATTTTGAGTAATAATTTTAGTTTATATTCTTTTTTTCTTTATTTTGTTGGATGGTGGTGTCTGCGGCATCTATTATTGGACAGTCTCCTCGTTCCATATATCCACAATTATCAATAAAATTTCTTAAGATGACTTCAAGAGATTCGAACTTTCAACCTTCAAAATATAAATTTTTAGGTTTAATTCTGCACCATTTTTAACTTGAACCCAATAAAACCGAAAAAACTACATGTAAAAATCAAAGCTTTGAGCTCATTTTTGGCCTTTTCCCTTTAATGATCAAAAATAAGCTTAGACATGTTTTTATTTAATTAAGTAAGTACTAGTGTTTCTAGCTACAAAGATCCAAATGCATAATACAAGGTACATGATCAACTGAACCTCGATATGAAATGTACTTTTGTTCATATATGATGCTATTTGGCCTTTTTCGTCTATACTATTTGCTTTAAAATAATTGTGACAAATAGGAAGAGTGAGATTTTAATTATTTTCAAAATTTTTATATATTCGACGGCCATCTTTCCAGAGAGTGTTTTTTAATTTTTTTCTTTTTCACATTCCAGAGAATGTTTATTGCAAGAATTGATTACCTCCAATCCGAGGCTGGACTAGTTTCAATAGTTTAGATTCGGATTGGATTGGAATATGAGGCTCTATTGGGTCATATGGTACTTTTAACTGGTCCACTGACCTAAATAGGCTGAAATTTTACTTGGACCATAGCCCACTTACTTAGTGTTTTCTTTAGATGGGCCATGAGAATTTTCCTACCTTAGCTCATTTGTGGGTCGTAAAAGGTCTCTTTGGTTTATTTTTCTGAATATATATACACACACAAATTATCTAGTACATATATATAGATATATATATATATTTTTGGAGAGAATTGAAAATCAGAAAACAATCGTAAGTATGTTGGTTGATTGTCTTTTTAAATTCATTTTTTCAAAGATTGGATGAAAGAACATTTATTTTCAAAAAATAACCTTTTATAATTTTCTAGAAATACTTTTACTATGTTTGGAAACACCGAATTCAAATCTCTATTCAAACTTTTAACTAAATTTCTTTCGATTTTAAATCCAAAACACTGATTCGTGCTCCAAAACACAACATTTACTATTTTATCAAATTGGACAAACTCAAAACATCTCAAATCTTTAATATGCTTATCATATACTATTATTTATCAATGGGTTATAAGCCCAATGGTATAACTTCTCTACCTTCAAAGAGAGACCGGAGATGTTAGTTAAGTCTCACACAGCAGCAGGAGTGCGAAAGCGAAAAAATTTAAGTTTAGGGAGAACAGGAACAAGAGCCCGCGTTGAGAGTGAGAAGGACGATTAATAATGAAGAGTAAAAGCGACACTCATTGAGAAGGAATTGTGTGACCTAAAAAAAATGAAGGATTCAAGTCTCAGTCTCGATATGGATGATTTGCTTGAGAGTAGTTACACGATAAATAATGAAATGGTAAGTGATCAGACCCACAACCTTGTTAGGCTAGAATCTTCCAACCCCTAAAAGTTTCCTTAGGTGAAAAACCATATTTATGGAGACTATGTGAATGAAGGTGGGTAAGTTTGATGAAAGTACGATCTTTCACAAGATTAAATTGAATGTAAGGCTAACTTGGCATGGAGTTTTGGTAGAATTATAAATACTTCACACAAGTCATATATGAGTTAGATATATGATATATATCTAACACTATCGAGTATTGAATTCAAAGCACGTGGAGAGGTTAAAATTACAAACAATTCTGGCATCATATATATAAATCTATGTCCCCTACGTTATAGTGAGTCTGACTGTGCAAGCTTGTGTCTAAAAAAGTTAATGATTTCGTATTCTTCATGAAATATTTCAGAATTCCAAACTAGAGAGAGAAAGATAAAGGATGTGATAGGGTTAGGGCTTGAAAGATTTATGCATCTCATTTTTCGGATAATGTACTCCTTCCGTCAAAATATTTGTCCGTCTTTTTTTTTGGAAATGTCCCAAAATACATGTTCTTTTCAAAAAAATGAATATACTGTTTTTCATTACATACCCAAACTATCCCTTTTCTATTTACTTGTTTAGCACCTTATAAGGTTAAAAATGGAATTTCACTAATTATTAAATACACTTCCATAAAAAGTTGAAATCCCAATACATCCCAACTATTTTGGGACTGAAAAAGTATTATTATTATTATTATTATGTCTTCATAGGGAATGTTACAAGTCTAAATGATCTATGTGCTCTATATGAATCTTTATTTTATGTTATTACTTGTTCTGTTTTGTAATTCGTCATAATTAACTCTTTAAACAAAATTTTTTGTTATAACTAAGACATAAAATGGAAGGGAATTATAATTGAATTTATGCATTTATGCATATCTTTACCGAGATCACATTTTAATATAAGTTTAATATACTGATTTA